AATTGGTTCCTTACAAATAAACTTAGGATTCCGCGGTGGCGAATAATACCAAAACTTACAAATAAATGAATAATAGATAGATAATCTAAAAGTATAAATGTTAAAAGTAAGGTAAGCACCTAATTGATATTCCTAAAAATATATATATAAGTTAAAGTTAATAATTAATTTCAGGTACACAATTCATAATATTCACAATTTTTTAATTACAAATTCCATCAAATTTTAACAAAATCTCAAAATAAATAAATAAATTTAATTTTAATCTCTATCAAACAAGGGCTAATTTTATTTTTGAAAACTCGAGTTGAAGAAAAAAATTGATATTAAGTACACAATTAAAGAAGATCACAAAGTTAAGACGTGTACGATATTAAAAAATATCGTACTCCACAAACACCCAACTTCCATATCGCCCTTATTTGGGTAAAGATTTCTTTCTTCCACCCTATAGTCGATTTTAGCGAGTTTTGCTCCGAAAATCATATTTATTTTCGAATTTGCTTTCATCTATTAATTTTCGACCCACCTTTTCCTCCTACACGACATGACATACGCGAAATGACTTTTCAATTTTAGTATAATAATAATAATTGATTCCACCACATATCCTGTATTTGGACATTAACGTGACCAAGTTCATTAGAATCAATGAGAGAGAAACGTGCACTGACCAATTTGTTTGAAATCTCTTTCGTGAGTGGTTGGGACATCTCATTAGAAATTAGAATGGTAGAAAATGTTGGGATGTCCCAAATTTGTAAAATAGAATAAAATGGTAAAATTATGATTGATGTTAAGTTGAGGAACAAAAGTTATAATTTCCTCTAAAGTCTTAATTAAGCAAATATGAAACGGATTGGAGGCAGATGCGGCGACGAGGGAGAGAATAATTAGAAGGAAAAACAAAATAAATGACGAAAAGAAATCATTGTATAACAGATTTAGGGTAAAATCAAATCTCGCCATAAAGTTGTGGGCTCATGTTTCAGTTGCTTTAAATTATAATTTAAAATCGTAGGTATACTTTTTAAAAAGGTTGAACCTACATTGTGTTAGATTCAAAATTACTACTTGCTCAATCAACATATTTCGTGTTGACCACTGATCTTCGAGCTCACTTAAAATGTAGTCA